TGCAGCCACCGTTCCAATACGGATTAATTCCATAAGTAGAGGGTCCACTGTAGAAATCTGTGAGTTCAAGGTTGCCTTCCCAGCCCACCACAATCTTTTTTCCTCCTTCCACACAAAACTAAATTCCCATTTTCCTAGTGACTTGGTACAGTTCACTCTAGTTCATAAATATGCTGTGTATCACACTGTATATCTTTTAGTTCCTATCGTGCAAAAAAAAAAGCGAGACAAGCCAAGATGCTAGAGCACACGGAAGATATAAAGAGAATCAGTAATGATGTGATACGTACCTTGGTTTTTAGAGGACCGTCCCTACCCTAAGCCTCTCCACTGGTTTATACCAGAAGAGGCCAATCTTCAGAGCTGTGAGCTCCACTTTATTTTGTACTGGCCCTCTAAGATCCAAAACCCAGATCTTAAACACAAAATAGGGACTAGGATGTTTGGTGGGCACATGCCAAGACACGGTGTAGAGAGAAAAGGTCCAATGGTGCAATGCCGTCAAGCCCATTCATGTCTCCCACTATAAGCCCTAAACAAACAGACAAACAAATAAATACCAGAAAGCAACTCATCAGGGAAACCTGATGACAGAAGTCTGAATCTATAGCCCAAGGGTCAGTAGTATGGGAGGAAAATGTTGGACTTTCCTCTCTGTTCTTGTTGAGTCAAGTTTTTAACTGTCTCTCCAGGACACACGATTTGTATTTCCATGTTAGATGAAATTATGTATTTACAGTTTATATGTAGATTAACTCTGGACTAATCTGAGCTTTGTCATCCAGCCAACAGACCCTAGAAAGCTGCCAAACAACCTTCTTTTACCACAGTTGAGAAATAAGCAGATAACACAAAGCGAGCCGTGGAAGGTTTGCTTTGTTTTGTTTTTTAATACTAGTGTATCACAAACTTTTGTGTTTTATTTCTTTATTTCTATTTGCTTTTTCTACCTTCTACCTGGCAGCCAAGGCCACTCTGGGTGGTTTACAATGAGGTAAACAATAGCATTAAGATAGTGATGAGGATATATAACGACAGACAAAATAAAGTATTAAAAATACAAAATCAATAGCAGTAAAAATAGACAGTTAAAGATAATAAAATAAAATGGGCACATGGCGGTAGGTTGGATATTAAATTGCTGAGGCACTATTATATCGTGCTGTTTTAAGATCCATGAAGGCCTGTCTCAATAGCCATTTGAGGGGCCAGGCGAATTTCGGGCGGGAAAGTGTTCCATAGTTGTGGGGCGACCGTTGACAAGGCCCGGTTTCTTGTAGTCACTTTTCTCTTGGGGTCAGAACTCTCAAACGCCCTGCCCGTGACGATCTTAAAGGATGGACAGATCTAATCGGAAGGAGGCGCTCCACCAGATATCGAGGTCCAAACCATTTAGGGCCTTGTTATTATTATTGAGATCATAAGAAGGGTTATGTTGGATCACACAAGTAGCCCTCCAACATACGGTTTCCATAACAGCTAATCAGATGCTTATCAAGCAGAACGTGGGTAAAACAACACCTTCCTTTCCATATTTCTAACAACTGACACACACAGATACTGCCATTGTATCTATAGCCACTGTAACCATTAGCCATTGATAGCCTTATCCTAAATGAATTTGTCCATGCACCTTTTGAAGACACACAAGTTGGCAGCCATCACTACATGCCGCATTAGTGAATTCCAGGGATTTGCTAAGTGTTGTGTGGAGAAGCCCTTCCTCTGCCTAGTTCTGAATCTCCCACCATACAACAGACATGTACCGTATTTTTCCGCGCATAAGACACCCCCGTGTATAAGACACCTCACTTTTCTAACCCAAAATTAAGAAATCTAAGTGGGGCTTAGCAAATGTAGGGTAAAAAGAATCAAAGTGCTGCAGGATGGCTTTGATCCCTGCTTTCTCCCTTTGTGCTAAGCCCCTCGTGACTTAGCAAAAGGAAGGGGAAAGGGATCAAAGCAATTCCATGACTGCACAATCATTTTGATCCCTTTCCCCCTTATACAGCTATGGGATTGCATTGATCTTTTCCCCCTCCTTTTGCTAAGCCCCATGGGACTTAGCAAGCAGAGGGGAAAGCAGGGATCAAAGCGATCCTGCAGCACTTTGATCCCTGCTTTCCTTTTTCTAAGGCTTAGCAAGTGGAGGGGAAAGCAGGGATCAAAGCCCTGCAGGATCACTTTGGTCCCTGCTTTCCCCTCCACTTGGTTTTTTTCTCCTCGGCTTACTTCAGCGTACAAGACAACCCTCAATTTTTAGTCTAAAGATTTTATACAAAAATTGTCTTATACAGAGAAAAATATGGTATATTTTTGGGTTCTAGTATCATGAAAGGAGGAGTAAAATTTCTCTATATCTAGGTTAAACAGCCTGAAAAGTCGTGGAAGATTTGAGGAGTTTGTCATCAGAGACTTAATGTAAAAAGGCCATTCTTTGAATCTTATATAAATAGATTTTCCCCTATTTTCCTCCACCAACAACAGATCCTTTACTCTTGCCTCATCTCTTACCCCTCTCCTTGACAAAATACAAGTAAAATCTGTCCTTACCTAGTTGTGACAAAGATGTTGGTGAATCCTCAGTTGTCTGTCATTCCTGAGGTTAAAAAAGTGCCTAACAACTATTAAACATGAAGTCAAACAACTTCTTGCACTTTTGATGAGTGTGATTCCTACAGGTCAACACAGAATCTGGCTTATAGAGGTCTAATTAATTATCTATCCATTTGTTTCTTTCCTAAGCTGCCTTTCAACATAAGCAACCCAGCTATTTGACAATCTAGGCTGCTCTAGTCTGGCTGGCAGTAGCTTTCTAAGGTCTCATGAAGACATCTTTTCCATCTCTTGCTACATCATTCATTTTATGTGAAGACGTCATGACTTGTCTCTCTGACTGTCTGCATGCAAAACATATGTTCTCTTCACAAGCCAGGCTTCTTTCAAAGACCCTGAAAATCTGTAGGTAAATGTGAATATTGAAATGAGCAGGGAGTTCACTTGAAATGAGCAGGGAGATCCATGTATATACTGTGGAAATTCCACGGTTACCAGATATGGGACTATGAAAGCTCTACCAGAAACAAGAATGTCAAGAGAGAAGAAACCTTGTCAAGAGCAACTGTTGCATGAAAAAACCTTGGACAGTTCTCTGGAAGGAAGGATGAGGTTTAGAGGTAAAAGCCTGACTCATTTCCAATCATCTGGTGCAAGGAAAATGCAAAATAAAAAATGCATTCCATAGGGTCAGATTACATCTTGGCCAATTAAAGTGTAATTATTTTGAGTGCTATTTAATGACAAACAGGTTCGAGCTCATATGCATGTGTATCTACGAATAATGGCTGCATTCTCGACAGCAAAGAGTTCCAGTGCTTCCATCTGAAAACAGAGTATTATGGTTGCAGTTCAACTTGTGATTAAATAAACTTTCAAGGTAAAATAAATAAATAAATAAAACAGATTGTATATTGCAGACTTAATGACTATGCCTTAATAAGACCTAAACTTTTAATTAACCTGCCAAGACAAATTACAACCAACAGCTCTCAGGTAACTATTGCAGACAGTTGAGACTCAATGCCAAGGCCTCTTTGGAGAGAAGGATTAATCGTAAACTCAGAATGAGACTTCATTTTGTAGTCAAGGAAAAAAAGGACTATTAAATAATCATTGTGGTTAGGATAATGCTAAGTGTTAATTTTTATGGGAAGGTCTATGAATTACAACAAGAAGGATTGGGGGATAAGAAACTCAGATGGTTGAATTTAGTAAATATGAAATAGCTGCACATATGGCCACCATATAGGGACATGGTGGCACTGTGGGTTAAACCGCAGAAGCCTCTGTGCTATTAAGAAGATCAGCCGTCGCAATATCGAATCCACGTGACGGAGGAGCTCCCGTCGCTTGTCCCAGCTCCTGCCAACCTAGCCATTCGAAAGCATGTAAAAATGCGAGTAGATAAATAGGTACCACCTCAGTGGGAAGGTAAAAGCGTTCCGTGTCTAGTCGCGCTGGCCACGTGACCACAGAAACGGTCTACGGACAAACACCGGCTCTATGGCTTAGAGATGGGTATTAGCACTGTTCCCTAGAGTCGGACACGATTGGACTAAATGTCAAGGGGAACCTTCACCTTTACCTATGGGCCGCCATTTTGATTCTACTGGGAGTCTTCAAATATTCAGTAAAGCATTTCAAATATAAATTATGACTCCTGAAAAGATGTCATTCCCAGCTTTCAGCAATCCCTTACAAAAGTAGAGTCCTTGACAAGACAATGCACTCCTATCAGCTTAGTAAAACAACAACAACAACAACAACAACAACAACAACAACAACAACAACAACAACAACAACTTTTCCCAGCTCCACTCATAATATATGGCCACTTTCAAACTAGAAAAGAGCATCTGTGTCATTTTTAAGATTGAAAAAATAAATAGTCATACCCACAGAACACTGTCCCATATAGCGCTAATTCATATAGCGTGCATGTCCGGGTGACCATTTTGTATTGCTTCCCATTCTAGATCTGTGCTAGTGATCATTGGGGCAGAGAGAAAAAGAAGAAGGTTGAGTTCTGAGAACCAATAATGAGAACAGCCAGTGAGTCTCCTCACTGGTCCTTGTTGTATTTACCACATGGAGTCCTCTGGCCCATTGCCATCAAACCACAATAGAGCTGCTTGGAGGGTCACCCATGGAGAGGATTGGGCTTAATTTCTGTTCTTGTACTTGGAACTGACAAGACCAGGGTGGGAAAATGGAGAGCGACTTGGCATTGATTCGACTAGTGCTCCATTTTCTTAAAATGGATCCTGAGCGTTAAGTAGGGTCTTACTGTAAAAATTAACACTCGCAATCGGAGTCAGAAGGATCAGAAATATTGAACATTGTTGGATTTGAATCTGCCATGGCTCTAGCTAGAAGATAACCCATAGACTGTATTAAAAGGAAGAGGAGGAGGAGCATGCTCCCCAAAATAAAGTCCTTACCAATGGCAGTGGTGAGAAACGAGACCACCTCAGATTCTTTCCCATCGTTGTAAAAGGCAAGGTGCCACATTCCCGAATCCAAGTACTGAATAAATCCTGTCTCGTGACTGGCCAACGGTACGAAGACTTTGTGTTGACGCTGAGGGCCTTCCAGGCTCCTGGCCTCCTGAGTAAGCAGTCGCCTCCCGTCAAGAAGCTCCACAAAGTCAAACTAGAATTCAATGAAAAGGTGGAGGCAGGCACGTCAATACAAATGTATTTAAGACAGCATTTAGTATTTTGGGGTCAGGGCCACTGAAATTCAATGACTCATTTAAAGGCCCTTGTATAGACTTTGGCAAAATAAATAATAATAATCTATTATTTGTTGATTTGCTTCCAAACATCCTGTCGTGCAATATTCTACTGGTATACTATATTTCAGGTAGATTGTTGCATGAAAAACAGTGGCACATCCACATCTCTAAGGGAGAGAATATAGACAATAAAGTAGATGTTTAGAGACTTGCATCCTTCCATAAGAGCCCATGCACCTACTTTGTTGAAGAGACCCTACTCCATATCCGACTGTCATCTGTATGATGAGGACAGGTATACAAAAAACAGGGCCTTATCCGTGGTGGCATTCAGTCTTGGGATATCTTTACACTAAGATCTCCTATATTAGGAGAGGCTGTGGGACATTTCGGCTTCCATATTTTCAACAATTACTTTTGTGATAACTTATCACTGGCCACGCTAGTTAGGGCTGTTGGAAACTATAATTTAACTTCTGAAAGATTTGTTTCCTGTGAGGTTGTTTAGACAGATATTTTGTTTACAAATATTTTGCTGCTGCTTCCTTATTTTGCTCATTTTTTTTGACTCGGGTAACATTGTTATCACTTTAAATGGTTTCTGATCTCCAGCTAAAAGGGTGATAGTAGGTAACTGAAATCCCAGGGAAGGAACACCTGCCAGAATGGGTGACGTGGCGTTAGAGGGAGACAGCTTGACATAGTCCGAGGCAACCCAGAAAGTGTCAGAATTTCATCTCTTCTCTGCACCCCTTTTTATTCTTGCTATATTTTGTTTGTATTCCGGAGAGTCCATAGACACAGGATGGGTCAAGATGGAGCAGCAGTCTGAACATTCATATAAACCCCACCATAGAGGACTCCAGAAGGACAGTCATGGTAATCTGTTGTACCTTCCGTACTAACTGGTTTTATCAGCCTTAAGCCATTGTGGACTGTAGCCCATTTCTCTAGAGGAACAGTGTTGCTCCGGACAGTCACAAGGAAGGAAAAGCACAAAGTCAAGCAGGGTGAGGATGAATCGGGTTGTTAAGGGTCCTTGGGGGTGACAGAAAGAGATCTTAATGGAGTTCATGATGAGTCATTCAAATGCTACTGGTGGTCACAAGGAAGGAAAAGCACAAAGTCAAGCAGGGTGAGAATGAATTGGGTTGTTAAGGGTCCTTGGGGGTGACAGAAAGAGATCTTAATGGAGTTCATGATGAGTCATTCAAATGCTACTGGTGGGGGGGGGCATAAACAATCAAGTACAGATAAGCAGATTAACATATGTAGGATGGCTTTGAGGGAACTCCCTCCCCAACATAAGCCCCATATAATTAAAGAACACCGTCCACTGTTCCAATCACTTTAGTCATCGTAGTAAGAGAGTGCAGAGTCCGTGCAGAATCTACACATAAAGGAAACTAAATGGACATCATCATGAAGCACACAATGGTTCAGCAGGGATACAGTAATCTGTTTAGTTCAAATCGTAATGGCATACAATTATATGAAGCTTGGAAGTGTTACTTTTTGGTCTACAAAGGCCAGAATTTTTCCCAGTCAGCATGGCCACTTGCTGTGCTGGCTGATGAATTCTGCAAGTGATCCCCCCCAGGACTGGCATTGTTCCTCCAAACTGAGTTTTTGGATGGAGACAACCATTTGTGACACCGTCTACCATACCTGTGTGTGAGAGGGAGGGAGGCCTTTCCGTCCATAGATCCCAACCAGAGCAGACTTTCCTAACGAAACGTTGAATTTCAGATGCACTGGGTGGTCAATGAACACCTGAGATCTCCAAAAGATTCCAGGAGGGATCTTCTGTGTGGCTCTTCTGCCAAGGTCAATTTCACCGGTGTCTATAAAACTGTCTTCTGGAAAGAAACTACTGGGTTTTCCTACTGAGATAACGGGAAGAGAAAAGAAAATCTTGGGTTAGCTCATTATGAATGTGCTGGCGATTACAATAGCTTGGGAAATGTATCATATTTCTCTCAAGAACATGGAAAAATTATATCTGTGAAGATTCTCAGTTATTTCAGGTGTGGTTTTCTGGAAGTTGAGTCATGGGAACTGGACCTCTTTTTTGTTAGGTTGAAATGTTTCACTGCTCCTCCAAGTAGCTTCGTCAGTCTGAGACTGACGAAGCTGCTTGGATGAATAGCGAAACATTTGAACCTAACAAGATAGAATTCAAGTTGCCATGACTCAACTTCTAGATGACGGAAAAATTATCTTTTGGAAAACGAGTCCCAGAAACACCCCGTGAACAGAGAAAGAGTATACTGGCTGAGGGATTCTGTGTCTTTAAAAAGGAACTTTCCTAAGTTCTACTCTTTCTTCTGTTGTTGGTTTTCATACTTAACGACAAGGCCACAACATCAAAGGGACAATTTACCCTGAAGCTTTATGATCCGTTTCTACATCGAAATCGATGCTGCATACAGAGTTCGGGGAACACGATGGTCACCAAACTTCCTGCTTGGAAGAAGCGTTTTGAGAAATTTCAAAGGAAGCACAAAATGAGTATTGTAAAGCTTCTCATGGAACAAGCTTACTTATATATATATAGTTAACACAGTTTGTGAGGTCAAGCTGGCCCTTTGTTATCACTGGGTGATAACTTAGCAGTAGATGCCCTATCGGGAATCAATGGGAATGAAAGACAGCTTCCATTCAATAAACTGAGGTTGCCATCACTATGGTATTACTTTGAAAGAACATAAGAAACAGAGGGAACTACATTACATGGAGTCAGGGAACTAATACTGCTTTCTCTATGGTTGAGCAGTTTATGTACCTCCAGCTTGTTTTCAGACTACAATGCCCATCCGCTCTGGCAAAAACACTGAATGGTGAGTGTTGGTTGGAGGCGTAGACCACCCTGGTCTACACTTACTGGCAAGTGACTTCTAAGGTCCAAAGCAGGGATGTTTCCCAGTCCTGCTGGGAAATCCGTGGATAGAAACTGGCTGCTTTTAGTCTCACCCACCCCACCCTAAGGGTAGAAACGTGCAAGTAAAACATGGTTGTAAAGGCCTGGCTATGCGCTCTGTAGAAAGACGTGGTAGAATGGACTGTGCCTCATTTCAGGGTGCAGGTTGGGAGGCCAGCCTTCAAGTCCTTCTCTACATCCAAGGGAGGAAGAACTGTAGAGTAGGAAGAACAGCAATAAGAAACCCTTGTGTTGGGGCTCTTCTTGTTGTGTTAAAGTGACAAAGCATTCAAAATGGTGAAGCCTGCCATAGCAGTCTTCAGAGATGTAACTAGATATTTTGGCACTGGGGTGGGGGGAGTGCCATCATCTCCAACTTACTCTGCCTTCAAGTACAGGCATGAGCCCCCAATAAGAAACAGGAGGAGGTTAATGTAGTGCTCCCACTCACATGAAAGAGAAAGTGTATGCTTTCAAAAAGGAAGAAAATCGGGAGGAGAAGGAAAGTAAAGAAACTGAGAAGTGTTGTTTATTTTCCTTACATTCACTAAGAGGTTTACCTATAAAATTTTGATGCCCTCTAAATTCTGATTCCCTGGGATTCTTCAGTGGCAGGCTTCCTTCTGGCCACATCATGATGGGGCCACCTAACTCAGAGCTAGCTCATCCAACTGAACCTCAAGAGGGGTAGTGGACGGTGGCATCGTATAAAAGGCCATAAAATGGATAATTAAAGGCCAGGAGCGGTAGCATCAGCTTTATTATTATTGTTGTTGTTATTATTATTCTTACACATTCAAACTGGTCAACCATCTCATCTTCCTGGGCCATAAAAGCAAGCTCCTGCGCTTTTAAGCAGATGACACAAAACAGAATAAAGTAAAATAAAATAAATGGAGCTCTCAGGAAGATAAACTAAACCAGTCATTGGAACTAATGTCACGTTTGTGGGGACTCTGTCCTCTTCTTCTCTCTTTTCCTCTTTCTCAGTCTCTCTTTAAATAGACAGAAAGGGTATTTGGGGAATAAGGGACTAAAATAGCTTCTCCAGCCATTGCCTTTTTTATATAGCCAGATTCCCTGACAATGCATGTTTAGTAGCAAGATCATGATTGGTAGCACATTCTTGCAGCCATAAAATAAAATATTTTTACTATTCAAGATAGTAAAAGTCTACTTAAAACGTTAAGGGATTCCATCTGTTATCAAGTCAGTTTAAATCCCCCCACCCCACCCCTGCACACACATCAGGTTAGATGCGTTGCTGTGGCTTTATTTAAAACAAGTGGTATGTATAAAAATCAAAGCGAAGAGAGCCGTTTTCAGATTATAAACTTGGTTGAGGATAAGCATCGAGCCACAAAGGACTCAACATTTGGCAAATGCACCAAAATATAAAATAATTGAAGCATGTTCCCCCATGGTCATTCCCCCTAAAACTGGAGGCATATGTCCTTCTTAACATTGCCATTGTTTCATTTTTCAGTGTTTTATAGTTCAGCTGGTGAACAGTATCTAGTCTAGTAGCCTAGTTTTCTCACTTCACTCTTCTGGTTGTATCACATCTAGTGATGACTGATAAATATATTCAATGTATTCAATATATTCAATGATGGTGGGGATGGCCCCTTCTAAAGAAACCAACCTTTTCCTTTGGATCTTGGCCCAAATCATGCTGTTTTGTGTGAGGTCTATGAACATGGGGGGGACTGAGCAACAGAATCAAGGGTCTGCATGTATTTCTTAATGGAGGAGCTTTCGTATGAGATGGAGGTGGGGAATGTGACCATGTTAACTCTCAACAACTTTACACACCACTGATCATAGAATCCTTTTGGACTCTCTGATGTGGGGATCAGGGGCACTGTATTAAAGTTATTGTGTTATAATTTTACACAGCCAGTGTGTTAAAATAATTCATAACAAGGTTGGGGAGTTTAAATAGTCAAGAAGGCCGGCTCTTTCCTCTGAGTTGCTATCTTGAGTCATTACCTATCGTGCAACTGTTTACTTCCAGTGATCCTCACAGAATTCTTTGCAATTAGTTTTCACCACCATGCTTTCATATTTCCTTCACACTCAATGAGATATAGTGGGTAGTACTTTTTTTTAAAAGGACGTATGAATATATTATAGAGTGAACTAGAACACTAGGGGCTACCATGAGCGCAGCGGATCTTGCATCAGCAACTGTGGGCGAAGAAGCACCACAGGCTGAAGAGCTGTGACAGGAACGACGAATAAAGACCTTCCTGAAAAACAGAGCCCCAAAGACTCTGACCGAAGATGTTGGCAAAAGCTACAAAACTTGGAAGGACTACTGAGTGCCATATGAGGTTTTCCTATATAAGTTGGCCAAAGCTGGCCTACTTTGGTTTCCACATGCAATGCAGTCCCATGCAAAGCAAAAGGAGACTATTTTAGTCCTACTAGAATTTAGATAGGGACGTGGTGGCGCTGTAGGCTAAACCGCAGAAGCCTGTGCTGCAGGGTCAGAAGACCAGCAGTCGTAAGATCGAATCCATGTGATGGAGTGAGCGCCCATCGCTTGTCCCAGCTCCCGCCAACCTAGCGGTTCGAAAGCATGTAAATGCGAGTAGATAAATAGGGACCACCTCCGTGGGAAGGTAAACAGCGTTCCGTGTCTAAGTCACACTGGCCATGTGACCACGGAAGATTGTCTTCGGACAAAACGCTGGCTCTATGGCTTGGAAACGGGGATGAGCACCGCCCCTTATAGTCGAACACGACTGGACAAAAATTGTCAAGGGGAACCTTTACCTTTACCTAGAATTTAGGTTGCAAACACTTTGTTTTAATCTGAAAAACACTCTTCAACTGAAGAGGAAGAAAAACTTGCCTATTTCATTACCTAAGGCAAAAGGACTCACCACTGAAGTAGGTGGTAACTGAGTTTTAATAAAAATCAGGACTTCATCTCTTGGAAGCATTTCTGTCATGGATTTCTTCATTAAATTCTATCTATAGTTGTCACTGTCTTCCCTGAGCAAACACTCATTTTATGTTGTTTTGAACATCTGTAGTGTGCTAATTCGAGCCAGTGACAGTACCTCATGGCATCTTGAGGCAGCCAGGAAATGGTGTGCAGGAATTAGCGCTTTCACAGGACAATGAAGAAGAGAAATGGATGCCTTACAAGTTGTTCAACTGGCATTCCTAAGCACCTTTACAAAAAAGTAATATGAAGAACTGCTGGATAGCTCAGTGGAACCACAGTTTGGGAGTTCGATTCCCCGCTGTGCTTCCTTGACAGAGGCTGGACTTAATGATCCATAGATTTCCTTCCAGTTCTGCAGTTCTAAGATTATCACCCACTTCTGCTCCTAAATAAAATATTTACAAGGCTCTCACAGTGTAACCATAAAATTAACTACATTGTATAGCAGCTCACTAATCAGAAAGGAAAAAAATATGCAATTAAATGTCATAATTTATAGTGTGTGTGTTTTTTTTTTAGGAAAGGAAGATGAGTAAATGTGTCTTGTTTTAACTGGAATTGTTTGCAACAGTCAAAGTACTAGTTGCCATCAAAGCTTTTTATTACAAAAACTTTAGGGTTTACTGTTCTCATTGTTCCTATAGACATTTTGAAATCAGTGGGATTAAGGTTAGTCAAGACTGTTTTCAATCAAATGCATTTCAATGGATATACTTTGTGTATGATAATATCTGACTCCAGATGTTTAATTTTCAATAACAAATTAGATTTAATGTATAAGAATTCAGCAGGAAATCATGGCCTTAGTCACAGGACAGAGGACATATGTAGCACTGACATCGCTTTAACATCAAAGTTTTGACAGGAAAATTTGGGGCAAAGACACACAGAATAAAACTGAGAAACGCTGCAAAATAAATTAGAATTATATATTGCAAGTATTCCACTAATTTCCAAAACTGAGTCATTCAGAGTAAATGGTTTGAAGATAGCACGTTAAACCTTGTGGTTCCAAAGGTATTTAATGTCATTTTGATATTAATAAGGCTACTGTTTTCTAATGGCAGCCACCTCAGGCAAAAAAATATTTTTGAATGAGCAAAAAATGAACAGCATTCAGTAGTCCTGTAAAAAAACAAGCAAAAAGGAAACGTTGATGGAACATTTTAAATCAGTAAACATTTCTGACAGAGGAAGAAATGAAGAGAGGGAAGTTCTGGTGGGGAAATATCCCTCAAATGAATATATGAAAGAGATATTCCCCTTTATGGGTGGCTCTGAATAAATCACTGCATACTTGAGAACTTGTGGTGGTGGACACTGAAAACAGGACAGATGGACAGAAGGACAGACGACTACTGACTAGAGAATATGACGAAGCAGAAGTTCCGAGAGGCGGTGAGGCACTGCAGAAAAGATGGATGAAATTATGACGTGAGAATGGATGTCTGGAATTCAGAAGCAGACACAAGGAGGACTCACAACAAGGACAACACACCGACCAACCGTACCTTCGCCGGCTCCTTTGCCTTTCCTGTCAGGTACCTCTAGCCCCGTGCCCCCCGAGGAATACAGAGAGACGTCCGTTGGCACTGGCCAACTGCTGGCTGTGTCTTCCGTGATCTCATACATCTGCCCTTCCATCGGCTGCAGGTGCCAGTTTAGGCCAAACAGGTGCATGGCTGTGGTGAGCAATGAGAAAAATCATCTTTTGGGGCAGCTGTTTCTTTGCTGAGGAGACTTTTGAAATTTAAAACCTGTGCCTGAGTAGCACGCTCATTACTCCTCTTGGTACGCCACAGCTAGAACGGAGTTCCCTGCTGGAAACATTTTAAAGATGCAGATTTCGACGTGTGAATTGAATCCTGATCTATGTATAAGCATTAAGTGAGTGGGGGTCACGTGTTTCTGACCCTATTCTTCTTATTCCCCACCGCAAGCTGTGACAACAGGTGAATACGGTCATGTGATGACTCTATTTGCCAAATTCAGGCATCTGGGACATCATTAAGAACCTCCCACAGCTGAACAGCTCTCTTATCCTGCATGCTTCAAACTACAAGATGGCTCAAGCTTACTGCGGTTCTGTGCCATCAAGTTACATCCAGGTTCTGGCAACCCTAAGACGGCTTTCAAGACATGTGAGAGATTTCAGGAATGGTTTTAAGAGTGCCACCGTGCTGTAAAGTTTAAATAGTCAAGCAGAGACTTGAACCCAGGGCTCCTGAGCCCTAG